ATTCTCTCGTTCAATTGTTAGCCGGAATATCTTATAACTAAAAGCATTACGTGTGAGAGAGAAATGTTTTCGTTCAATTATTATCAAGCATATCTTCTTATACGTAAAAATTTTCCGCTCATTTGTTAGTCAACTTATCTTGAGCCTAATAACACTGCATATGAGAGAGAAATTTTCCCTGCTCAATTATTAGTAGGATTATCTTATACTTAAACAACTACATATAAAAAAGAAAATTATTCAGCTTAATTATTGTTAGCCGGCTTATTTTATACTTAAAAGAAATACATATGAGAGAGAAAATTATCACGCTCAATTGTTAGCGAGCATATTTCCTAGTCTTCTAATACATAAAAGCACTACATATGAGTGAGAAAATTATCCTGCTCAGTTCCCTTGCTCGATTGTTAGCAAACTTATCTTGTATAATACCTAAAAGTACTACATATGATCGATAAATTCCTCAAGTATTTTTTCAAATTAATGCTAATTAAAAAAGTATTTACAAAATTAGGATTGAGTTAAAACTATTTATCACATTTTAGGCAATTGAATCTTTAGATTTTTGTAAAAAGTTTTTGGCTAAAAGTTGATATAGACTAAAAAGTGTAAGAATTGGCATGGTGAATATAGAATTTTACTTTAAACTGGTTGGGAATTACGTTTCCGTGTATGGTCTTCAACTTTGTTTTGAAACTTTATATAGTCATTATTGGTGTCATATGAAAGATCACAAAAGTTATAAAATTTGATATATTTTTTATAAAAATGGAGCAAGAATATAAAGTTATTACAATTTAAAGAAAAAAGAGAAATTCTTTTACTTGGGCCCCACAAATTATTCTTCCCATACGTTTGGTGAATTTCCCTAACCAAAGTTTGATCCGGCAATATTTTGGTAAATAGTTTTAACCTAACAAATACTTTTTTAATTAGCATTATTTTGAAAAAAAACTCAAATTCCTCCTTCTCAATTATTAGTAAGTTTATCTTCTTATACGTAAAACCACTACATATGAGAGAGGAAATTCTCTCGCTCAATTGTTGACTGACTTATCTTATACCTAAAGACACTACAGATGAGAGATAAAAGTATTTCGCTCAATTGTTAGCAAGCTTATCTTCTAATACCCAAAAGCACTACATATTAAGAAGAAAATTATCCTGCTCAATTCTTCTGTTCAATTGTTACCAAGCTTATTTTCTAATACCCAAAAACACTACATATTAGGAAGAAAATTACCCCGCTCAATTCCTCTGTTCAATTGTTAGCAAGATTATCTTCTAATATCTAAAAGCACTATGATAGAGATATTTCTCCCTCTCAATTAAATGTGAGAGAGAAAATATTTCCGCTCAATTGTTAGCTGGCTTATCTTGTACTTAAAGGCAATGCATATAATGTATATGTGAATTCTTTAAGTTAACTATCACATATTATTTCAAGGCAATGCATATAATATATATGTGACTTTTTATAGCAAATTTGACATTATTTTAACATTTAATTCCTATCAAGAAATTTTACATTTATATGTAATATTGCATTCATATGAGATATTATGTAGAATTAAATAGGGTAATATTGTATTTATATTAGCCTATTCTTTTATTATAAAATGTTAATTCCTTAGTTATAATAACCCAGTATAGACTCGTGCATACACACGGGAAAGAATAATTTGTACATATATATGAGGTCATGATCTTATTAAATACAAAAATAAAATAATTTCTTAAAATATTACATTGTTTTAAAAGGAGAGTACAAAGTACTACCTATCCAGTGAACACAAAATAATAATAAAAAGTTTATGTATAAATAAGTATCATAATATGAGTACATATATTTAATTTGAATGTGTGCATCATAAAGCTATAAGACGGTACAATGGATGATCAATAGAATTAGTGCGAACCATGAAATGGTTCACAAATAAAAATATCATTTTCAATACAGAATTCTCTTGACCATAAACGTACATATCTCTCGACTCTCTTTTCCATGTCAAAGTGACTGCTAATTCGAGAGCAACACATGTGATGTTATATCATAATCTGCAACACAACAACATCCAAGCCATAATTTGCAATAAGTAATCTAAAACTATTATTCAGACTAATATTTTCTTTCAGCTATGAAATAATACCTAATATAAGCCAAAAATGTGGAATTCAGAATTGATGAACAAAAATATGCAACTATGTATAGTTTATAAAAACAAATTTTGTAGCAACCTCTATCCTCCACCCAAGTGTAAACACAAACAGAAAGAAAATAGCTTCCATGAACCCAAATAATATTTAGGCGAATAAATATTGAAAAGAAAAATCAAAGTTACCTGGTTAGAGAACTAAGAGAAGTAAAGACATCAAGGAAAATATGTAGAAAAATGAAAACAAAGAAATTCAGGTAAGAAAAATTTGGATTTTGGCAATGTTTTAAGAAAAAGAATAAAGTTAGGAGTTAGAAATATCTTAAAGTTTTTGACTTAAAATGGAAATATAAAAAAAGGTAAAGTTCAAATCATTAATCTAAATAGATTAAGCATTAATAGGAGCAGTAATAGACTTAAAAGGAGGTTCTGGCAGCAATATTAAGATAGAGTAAATATCATCTGCTTAACAGAGAATGCGTAAAAAAAATTCTAGTGAGGTAAAATATAATGTTTGAAAGTTCAGCCAACATTTCAATGGAATCCTACGGTAAATGGAAATAAAAGAAAATTAGGTATAATAAGATTAAGATAAACAACCTGGGGGTACCCAAAATAGTGTTAAAATGCCCTTTTAGGAAACATTGATATTATAGCGTTAATGATTATAAATTAAAAGTTCATAATTTCAAATACAAAGAAGTAAGAAAGAAATCCAATAAAATATGGCTGCTCCAAGTTATGCCTTTTCTTTGTGTTTTACACTTTTACTCACATTTGGATCAATTTCTTATAAGAACCTAATGCCCCCTTAACCTTTCTATCCTACCGCCAAGGGTAGAACTCGGAGTTCAACAAAAACATACATCAAAAGAAGTGTAAACACAAATAGAAAGAGAATGACTTCCATGAAAAATGTATGAAAAGAAAATTAATTAAGTTACCTGGTATGAGGAGTAAAGACTTCAAGGAAAAATCTGCAGAAAATAGAAACAAAGTAATTTAGGTAAGTAAAGTTTGGAATTGGCAATGTATAAAAAAGAACAAATTTGGGGATTTACCCTAAATGGGACTAATTAGCTTTCCTAATTCCAAAATGGAACTCTTTGACTTTATTTCTAAAAATGGGACCCCGGTGCTCCTTATTAAAAACATAAGATATTTTCATTCCTAAAATACCCCTCTTCTTTCTCGCCTAACATCCGATTACCCATCTAATCTTAACGAATCTCAGTTCTCTCGTCCTCTTCTACGCTGCCTCTGCAAGTTCTCGTTCGAAAGATCATGGCAACTCTAAAAGTGAGCTTCGTGAGGATGGCAAATCACTTCAGATAAGGGTTTCGAACCAAACAGTCTTAATTTATTGAAGCTTTAGATCGGAAAACGTTTGAATTGTTCTCAAATTTTCTGCTCGAGGTCAACTTTTTTACCAGGTATTCTGTCCGATTATTCAATTTTTTTACTTTCGCCTATTTTGCTCATTCGATTTCGATGAAATTCAGTTTGTTTTTCCTGTTTTCGAAGTGTTCTAATGCATCCTGTATCATTTTTTTAGAAGTTCTCTAATTTGTTCCGATCTCATTAATGTTCTAAGATTCATCAATTCGTTTTTGCAGTGTTCTCATATATTGTAATCGCTGTAATGGATCGTGTTTTGCTTATAATGGTCAAGTTGGATGGTATATGGGGGGCTGACTTTGTCTTCGTGAACAAAGCGACATTAGGTATTCATGTCCCATATTCTTGCACATATTCATCACTCTTAGACATCCTGAATGGCAGTATTGATCAAGTCAAATGCAATCCACGTTTCACCATATCATACCTTGTTGAATCCTGTCCTCCACCTGTTAGAGTCAATGATGATGCTAGTTTACGCTTTTATATTGATCTTAAGATTCTTCAATCAGATTTCTCAAAGTATCCTCTGTGTATACAATTTGACAATGAGGAACTACCTAGTTATGATCCTGTTTTACCTGTTTCTACTCCAAATACTTTGGTCACACATGCACCTTGTTCTGATGTTGATCTGTGCAATGGAAATACCGGTTTCACTGTTGTCCATTCTCTAGAACAATACTTGCATCCTGAAATATCTTCCCGTACTCCTGAAATTAGTTTTGATAATGTTCTTTCATCCACATCTTCCTTTTATGTCGATCAGTTGAGGGTTTCCTTGAATAAAAATAACTTTGAAGTAAACAGTTCATGCAGTGGTGTACTTCCTGAATTTTTGAATGAGGATTCCCTTGATGAGGACTCACTTTCTTCTTCTTCTGAAAATTTAGAAAGTCATTCTTCACATGCATTTGTGTTAGACCAAAACTGTGATGTCATTACACGTTATTCTGCTACTAAGATTGTGCTCCATGGTATATACGAGAACAAGCAAGCTCTACTTTATCACCTTAGAATGTACGCGATCAATAATAGCTTCCAATTTTATTCAAAGACTTCAAAGAAGCATTCATTGCATGTGATGTGTTTGGACAAAGAAAATTGTAAATGGGCTGTTCGTGCTGTTAGGCTCAAAGGTGTTCAGCTTTTTCAAATTAGAAGGTATAATTCTTAATTCATTCATATTTTTGTAGTTGTTTCTGATGTAATTTAAGAATCTTGCTTTATGTGTTTCCTATTTCAAAGTTTCATTGCTTAAGAGTACTGTCACTGCACACCTTGTATTTTCAAGCATGTATACTGTCATCTCCTACGTTCTTCCACCCATGTTTATATTATTTTCATTGTGTTCATGTACTGTCAACAATTACTGCAACGCATGTACCTTCTCCCGTACTTTTTATATGCATCAGTTTATATTTATTCGTTGTTCTTTACATATAGGTTTGATGTTGATCACACTTGCTCAATAGACTTTAGGCAAGGTGTTCGTCACAGGCAGGCCACTTCTGCAATGATTGCTGAGCTTGTAGCTCAGCAATATATGGATGCTTCCAAAAAAACCATATACACCTAAACAAATCAGGGATGATTTGTTGTTGCAGTATGGAATACCGATATCATACAAGAAGTCTTGGGCTGCAAAGAAATCTGCCATGAGAAAACAATTTGGTTCAGATTCTGAGGCATACCAATTGTTGCCGTCTATGCTCCATATGCTAGACCAAGCTAATCAAGGATCTGACGTGTTGCTCATTAGAGGGGATAATGATGTGTTTCGCTATTTGTTCATGTCACTTGCACCATGGAAGAGAGCATGGGAGCATTGCATTCCTGTTCTTATTATCGATGGTTCTTTTATGAAGGCGTACTACAAAGGGACATTACTTACCGCATGTAGCCAAGATGCAAACAAACAGATTGTGCCTTTAGCGTTTGCTGTATGTGATTCTGAGAGCACTGCGTCCTGGAAGTGGTTCTTTACAAGGCTCAAAGAGTGCCTTAAACATCGTGATGACATGTACATTGTGTCAGATAGACATAAAGGTATTATCAAAGCTGCAAAGACCATCTTTCCACACGCTTCCCATGGATATTGTTGTGAACATCTGCGGCGTAATATGAGATCCAAATTTCGAGGTAAGTCATCCAACCATGGTTGGAAATTTAAAGCTGCATGGGAGGCTGCAACTGTGAATGAATGCTATCAATATTTGTCCATGTTGGATGAGGAAGATGCTAGGATTCGTCCGTGGCTAGAGAAGATTGGAACGGAAAAGTGGGCTCGAAGCATGGCAGTTAAGAGTCGATGGGGTGTTATGACCTCTAACTGTGCAGAGGCCATGAACAGCATGGATGCTAATGCAAGAGAGTACCCTGTCGCTAAGCTTTTGGATTTTATCCGAGAAAGAATGCAAACATGGTTTGCGGAGCGGCTAGAAGATGCAACTTCATCAACTACTCATTTGACTCTAAAGTTTGAGAAACATTTAGTTTCATTGCAGAGGGATGCTTCAAGGATGAGGGTAACAATCTCATTTTCTCTGTGTTTCACTTTTTGATTTAGTTACTGGCAAGTGTATACTGTCACATTATTACATGAATGTGACAGTGTTTCATTCACATTTCTATTGTACTGCCATGTTCTAGTTTATCCTTGTGTTGTATTGACTGTATTGTTCTATCTATAATTCACATCTTTCATTAACCTTAATTTTTCAGGTTAAACCGTCATGCCGTTATGAGTTTGAAGTTGTTGATAGACTTCGTAGATCTTTTATTGTCAATCTCAATGACCGAACATGCACGTGCCGTATGTTTCAATTAGAGCATTTTGTTTGTGTACATGCTGTAGCTGCCATAGGCACACGCGCTGGTGTTTCCTGCTATGATTATATATCATATTATTATACGAGACAGTCTGTGTTGAATACCTATAGTGGGGTGCAACATCCAATTGGTGATGTATCTTCTTGGATAGTTCCACCTCATGTTCAAAGTATTGTTTGCAAGCCACCTTCATGTTCTAAAAGACAAGCTGGTCGACCAAAAACAAAAAGGATACCATCAGTTGGTGAATTCCGTGCAACCAAACGGCAAAAGTGTTCTCGTTGCCATTCTGCTGGGCATAACAAAAAAAGCTGCAAGAATGCACTTACAATTCATTCTTAAGAAGCTGTTTCGTACTGTATTTCCTTTTAATTCTAATTTTAGTTTTGGTTACATTTTCATTCCTATGTGAAGATTGAGATACATTTATTACACACTGTTGTGGTTCTTATATTTCATTATATTGAATATTGAACATTGAATATATGGTATTTTGTTTCCTGAGATATCATTCTTAAAGGTACTGTCATTTCATGCACCTGTTGAAAATATTACTGCCTAATATTGCCAGTATGAATTATTTAAATACTGCCAACTAGTATTGGCATCAAATGCAATATCTGTCATTATTTCTCTATAAACTTATTACTTTATTCATAATGTCAGTATATAATATTAACTTTAATAAAAACTTCCTTAATACTGCCTGTATGGTGGAGTATAGAATATATTTAATGTCAGTATTCACTCTGTGAGTAGATACTGCCATCATATAGCAATATGATGATAGTATTAACTGTCACCTTAATTCATGAATTCAAAGTGATTGCAGTACAACGTATTCACGATGGCAGTACGATGACAGTATTACTCCATATTTTAGTTATTACTTCCAAATAATTGCAGTACTTCGTAGTTTAAATGGAAGTAGGATGACAGTATTTACTTTCAACTTTAGGCATTACTTGACATTCATCAATGTGAGTAGTAATCCTATTTAGGACACATATATCCTTTTAAAAGAATAGCATTACATATGTCCCAATATCAACAAAAGTGCATCAGCATCGTAAATACATTCCAAATATAAGTAGCAATGTCAAGATATTAGCCAAATACAATTTAAGCAAAATACATCAGTACCCCATTGTCATGTGTGCTAAACATTAAAAAGAAAGTGTTTCAAACGGCCATATTGTGATTACTAAGTCAATTATCCCACAGTATTACATATAAGCAAGTGCATCTTGTTGCTTATTTCACTGAATCCTTTGTCCTTCTTTCATTGTACATCATTAACTCCGTTGCCATTTTCTTCCTGTACATAGGCATGTCTTCAGGTTTGATTTCGTTGATGTCCCTTCCCATCATCAAGAATTCCGCAAACTTTAGCAAGAACATTCCACAGTTTCCACTATATTACAAGACAAATAACAGTTGATTAGAATAATATATAACAAATATTATTTTAAATAGTGAATAAATAGTTGTGAAAATTGAATAACTATTGCTTATCATACCTGTCATTCTGTTGGGGACAATTTTCTACACCTTCAATCTGAAATTGTTTTTCACCCATATCTCCACCACCAATTCCATCATACACACCATACTTGTCCAAGATTTTTGGCAGTAGACTTGTCAAGCCTTGTAGAAATTCGCCAATATCTCTCAGGGACTCTCCTCTTCTGCATTTAGAGTTATAAACCCTCATCATCCTGCTTTGTAAATCAAGAACCACTAACACCCAGTGGTTTCCATTGTTCACTGGCATGTAGACAAAATCTACTTCAGACCATGCACTAGAGACATCTTCTCTACTTCCTAAGATTTCAGTCATTATAGCATCATCATCTGCAGCCTCGTCCACAGTGATCTTCTTTTTTGCAACTTTATCATTCTCTGTCTTTAAGTGGGCAACAAAAAAGGGGCTTGTTGTGGTCAACTTTTGAGGGAGCTTGTACTGCTCAGCTTTGTATTTTAAGTAATACATTCCCACTTCTATATGCTGTTGAATAAAATGTTTACATAGTTGTTAGAGTACATTTTCACAAATGATCAGAATTTAAGTAATTAATTGATGGATATGTCATTGAATATTTGAATTAAAACATACCGTATCGCGTAACCATTCTGGGTTGGTAAACAGCTCATACAACCATGTCTTTGAATCAATAGTCATGCAGTCCAACAGGAATGGCTTTCCATGCATGTTTTCATCATGTTTCTTATATTTTACAGAGCCTGTACCACGCTTTCTGTTTTTCAGCAATCCAACTTTTAAATAAGCTGCCACTTTATCAACCTGATTCTTCTCTGGCATATGCTTTGGATCTTCAGAAAATGGACCATTGAGCTCTAGTGTTTGCGGCAATGACTTTTCCTGCACCTTCTTCTTCGCTTTGTCAACCTTCCTTCTCTTTTTCTCCACAGTTCTCTCTGATGGCGTGTAGCGCTCCGGAGATCTAGGTTTCCTTTTGGACTTTTTTACACCTGCAGGTCCATAAATCACAGCTAGAGGTTCTGGTTCTTGGTAAACCTGTATAATTTTGCACTGTTGATCAAGTGTCAGTACGCTTTATATTTTATATACCATTACTGCCAACAGATCATAAATGTTCTCATTACTTACTGGCAAGTACTATCATGTCACTTAATTTGCCATTAAATATTAACTACACACTATTACTGCCAATATAGGATGCATATGCATGTAGAACATCATTGCCATCCTATGTCAGTACATACAATATTTGACAATACTCATCACCTACTCTGTGTTACTGCCAACGTTGACACATACTCATCTTCAATATTGTCTTGTTTGTCAGTAACTATATCAGACATTTGGCAATACTCATCACCTACAATGTGTTACTGCCAACGTTGACACATACTCATGTTCAATATTGTCTTGTTTGTCAGTAACTATATCAGACATTTGGAAATACTAAAAAGTACGTACTGTCAGGATTAAGTGCTAACAGAACTATACCTGATTTATAGCACTTGCATGTTCTTTCTTTGACTTGCTTTCCAGTTTCCCTTCTACCTCTTCCATTTTCTGCAATATATTGAGATATTAATTATTATTATTATTATTATTATTATTATTATTATTATTATTATATATATTACTTGAATATGTATTGAACAATTTTGAATTTCATACCTTTGTGGATTCCTCAATGGTTGTTTCGGTTGAATTCACTTTTCTCTTTTGTATGGTTTTGTTAATTAGCTCATCCACTTTGAGCAACTCATCCTCATCATAATCTGTGTCATCATCATTCAATTTTCTCCAGTCCTCTTTTCCAGTATCATTGCCAACATGCATCTTCTCACTTGTGCCATCAACAACTGGCTCATCAACAACTGGCTCATCAGTTTTTTTCACAAGCTCTTCTTCCTGCGAAGAAAAACCAAATATATTGAACGATGGTCTTTGAGAATCTATCTCATTCTCAGACACTTCAGCATTCTCCTTTTCAACAACGGTGCCATCTTCCTCTGCCATTGCTTTCTTTTCATTAGAACTTTTATTTTCATCATTCTTCACCAACTCTTCAGCATCATCAACCTCCTCTGGCACTGTCTCTATATGATCCCCTTTATCTGCATCCATCTCTCCAATATCATCCTTCTCAATGGCATTTTCATCAATTTCAATGTTGCCACCTTCATCGCATTTGTCTCCTTGGCTGACCTCCTTAGCTTCATCTGTGACTACATGTGTACCTTCCAACCTTGTCAGTATCTTTCTCAACAAAGACCCATGTGTTCTCTGGATATTTTTTATCCTTGCCATTTCTGCCATCATCATGTCAGTCTTCTTAACAAGACTCTGCAATAATGAGTCATCTTCATCATCATTGCTTTCCCTAGTGCACTTTCTTTTAACAGCAGCAACACCCTTTCTGGACCTTGCCTTCTTCTTTTTCTCCACCTTTCCACTTCCATTTTCAACCTCTTTCTGATTGCAATCTTCACCTTTGTCATTCTCTGCAGTTTCTATCTCTTCACTACAGTCTATTCCTCCATCATACTGCCAACGTTCTCTTTCGAAGTCTTGGAACAGTAATGCCAACTCTGGTATTTCCATCTCTTGAACTGTTGGTTCCATTGGTTTATATTCAAACTGCATAAAAGAAAGACATGTTATCAATATATTTATATATTAAAACCAATTATGTACATTGAAAATATTTCAATTGATACCTCATTGTTATGGAATATCAACTTGCACAGAAGTTGCAGACTTGGCTTTTTGTTAAAACTCCATTTCAGGGTCCGAGGAATAGCATTCTGTTGATCTTCTTTGAAGACGCAAATACCAGCTTTGTTCAGTCCTGTAAGAGTTTCAAAGGCCCATACTTGTATGGCAAACATAAACCCAGGAAATGTGACACGGTCTGAAGAAATTGTAGTCAGTAACTCAGCACTTTTTCCTGCATTGTTGACCAAATCATCCCAGATCTCTCTTCCCCATGGATAGCTATTGAAAGCTTCCATATCATCCAACAGATTCACATAGTACGAAGGCAGTGCTACTTTATTCTGGTTTCCAAATAATGCATTTCCTAGCAAATACAACAGAGCTAATTTGACACCATCACCCTCAACAGTTGCCTCATCATCGCGGTTGTATGCAATCAAAGCATCTGTGATGTTTTGACGCGATACATATGTCTTCCCACTGAAGTACCTCTTCCACAAATCCCCCTGCACATCTTTTTTTATCTTTTTCTCAACTCCATCCATCTTGAATGATGTGACTAGTGCAAAGTCCTGTTTTGTAAATGAAACTAAACTATTTCTGATATTGAAAGTGATCTTCTCAGTTTCTGTTTTGTGATTTATCTCTTCAACATGATTCCCTATCAGCCCCAATAACAGCTGCCCACTTATCCAGGATATAGAATCCGCATCCATAATCCACCCAAACACAGTTCTTCTAAACTCAGCCTGTTCTTCTTGATTCAAGTACAACTTAATAGCCTTAACCACTTCTAGCAAATTGCAATAGCAATTT